CTTTCTCCTTATCATCAGCACTCTACCTTCCCCAACTGTTCCTTCCTAGATCTTCCAAAGTTGAGTTAGAAATGCTTACATTCCCATGTAGGTTTTATTTCTATTTATTTGCTTGCTGCCTCTTTTTCCTGTGGTTTTTAAGAAGCTTCTAAGTATAAGTAGATAAATATTAAGATAAAGGAGGTAAAAAGAAGAAAATATCCATACAAGTTTTAGAAGATAAGCATGCTGGTCAACAGACCTAACAGCTACAAACTTTGAAGACTAGATTTATCACAATCAGACACCTGAATTACAGTGCCTCCACAGAGAAATCAGTAATTCTTCTGTAGTAAAGATTTCCTAATACTTGAGGGTCAAGAAATGTTTTAGTACATCTTAATATGGGTGACGGGAACATTATCTTCAATTGCAACCTTGTCATAAATGCTATTACTGGTCTGTGGCTATTTTTCTTTTTGAAAAGATTTTCCATTTATTGTTTAAGTAAGATTAAATACTACAAGATTTTGCTTGCAGTTGATGAGCAATAAGAAAAAGGCTAAACATAGATTATTATCTGATTGGTTAATTAAAATGCATCTGACCCAGAGTCAAATTACGTACTCTGAAAAACCAGTTACTTTGTGTGGGCGTAAGAGTTTTAGAGCAAAATAACTCTAAACAAAACATACCATCTGAGAGCATAGGGATAATGGGTACATGAAATACTGCATAAGAAAGGTGATGGAGGGAAGTCCAGACCTTTAGGTTCTTTAGACTTCTAATAGTTGGTTTTCATATGCAGGGACTTTGCAGCCATTTTATCTCTTTAGTTTTATCCCTTGACTTTTCTGAGTTAGACAATTTTAACCTATACCCACTAAGCAGGATTAAAGAAACACTTGAAAATACAGATTAGGTTGAAAACATAAAGCAGTCCTACTTCCCCAATAGAATTTTAATTGACTTAAATCATAAGACAATGATTACTGTATATATTGTACTAGTCTCATTACATCTGTTGAGTAGAATTTGCATTCCAAGTATTTTCATCTTCACCACCATCCTGAGAACTTCATCTACCTTCCCTTCTTTTTGAAGTTTTCCACATGCTTTTCCAGCACTCTTCTGGCTGGTTTTCTGGATTTCTGAATTGCTGGATAGTGCAAAACTTGGGTATTCTGGTGATGTTATCAAAGAAGTCTGTACAGGAAGAGCATTATGAAATAACCTGGTAATCAATATCCAGAAGACAAGGCATGTATATAGTACTGTTCCCAACTGTGTCCATATGTTTCCACTGGAAGAGTGTACCATGGATGTAGTTGGTCTTCCTGCCTGTGCAGCAAACTACCAGTCTCTTTTTCTAGCATGTACAGGGAACCAGTTTGTAAAGGAAAAACCATCAGAAACACATCTCTTGCATAAGATTCCCTCTTAAATTCTATTTCTGCCTTTTTTCAGTAAAGCAGCAACTTTGGCACTTACTACTTTTTCCTTTCTCTTTGTAAATCAAGCAGCAGTCTCTGCAGGGTCCAGTGCAATCTGCTGTTTTACATGTCCTTGAGCTGTCCTGTCTTCTGCCTTTCCTCTTTCTTTCCTCTTCTTATATCTGTCTGTCAACATTTCTCGCTTTCTTTTAATATCCAACATTTCTTTTCCAATTTTCCTCCTCAATTTCTTTCTTTTTAAAAATTATTTCATCGATTATGCTATTACACTTGTCCCAATTTCTCCCCTTTGCCCCTGCACCTGGTACCCCTCATTCTCTCCAGCAATCCCTCCTTAGTTCATGTCAATAGGTCATGCATATAAGTTCTTTGGCTTCTCCATTTTCTTTACTGTTCTTAACATCCCCCTGCCTATTCTGTACCTATCAATTTGTACTTCTTAATCCCTGCACCTTTTCTCCCATTCTCTCCCTTTCCCCTCCCAACTGATAACCCTCCAAATGATCTCCATATATGTGAATCTGTTTCTGTTCTGCTTTTTTGCTTAGTTTGTTTCTTAGATTCCGTTGTTGATAGTTGAGAATTTATTGCCATTTTAGTTTTGATCTTCTTTTTCTTAAATAAGTCCCTTTAACATTGCGTGTAATAATGGCTTGATGGTGATGAACTCCTTTAGCTTTACCTTGTCTGGGAAGCACTGTATTTGCCCTTCCATTCTAAACGATAGCTTTGCTGGATAGAGTAATCTAGGTTGTAGGTCCTTGCTTTTCATCACTTTGAATACTTCTTGCCAGTCCTAACCTGCAAAGTTTCTTTTGAGAAATAAGTTGACAGTTTTATGGGAACTCTTTTGTAGATAACTCTCTGCTTTTCTCTTGCTGATTTTAAGATTCTCTATCTTTAACCTTTGGCATTTTAATTATGATGTGTCTTGGTGTGGTCCTGTTTGAAGCCAGCTTGTTTGGGACTCTCTGTGCATCCTGGACTTGTATGTCTATTTCCTTCACCAAATTAGGGAAGTTTTATTCCATAATTTTTTCAAATAAGTTTTCAGTTTCTTGCTCTTCTTCTCCTTCTGCCACCTATGATTTAAATGTTGATGTCTTTGAAATTGTCCCAGAGGCTCCTTAGCTATCCTTGTTTTTTTGGATTCTTTTTTCTTCTTGCTGTTCTGATTGAATGTTTTTTTTCTTCCTTATGTTCCAAATCATTGATTTGATTCTTGGCTTCATGTACTCCGCTGTTGGTTCCCTGTAATTTTTGTTATTTCACTTAGTATAACCTTCATTTCTGCCTGGGTATTTTTTTATGCTGTTGAAGCACCCAATGAATTCTGTGAGCATCCTAATAACCAGTGTTTTGAATTCTGCATCTAATAGATTGCTTATCTCCATTTTGTTTAGTTCTTTTCTGGAGTTTTGTTCTACTCTTTCTTTTGGGCCATATTTCTTTTTTTTTTAAGATTTTATTTATTTTACTTTTAGAGAGAGGAGAAGAGAGGGGAGAGAGAGGGAGAGAGAAACATCAATGTGTGGTTGCCTCTCTTATGCTCCCAACTGGGGACCTGGTCCACAACCCCGGCATGTACCCTGACTGGGAATCGAACCCTTTGGTTCACAGGCTGGCACTCAATCCAGTAAGCCACAGCAGCCAGGGCTGGGCCATATTTCTTTGTCTCATCATTTTGGCAGCCTCCCTGTGTTTGTTTCTAGGTATTAGGTAGAATTGCTTTGACTCCCTGTCTCAGTAGCATGGCCTATTATAGAACAGCGTACCAGTAAGTTGAATGGGGTGGAGTCTTAGGTAATCACCAGGGTGGGGCAATCTGTGTGAACCAGGTTGATGGAGTCTCAAATATGGTGTTGCTGTTCTGTGGCTCTGTGTCGGGTAGGGCTTAGAAAGGGAACAATGGCTGCTGCTTGGCTTCTGGAGTTTTGTCTGGGAGGAAGCTGTCCCCCAGCGCTCACCCTGATGCCAAACACTTCAGTTTCTCCCTGTATGTTACTGGTGCCCTTCCAGCTGCTGCCCTAGTACTGGAGCTCAGAAGGAGGGGGTTGTGTAAGTCCTAAGTATGTTGTGGGCCCTTTAAAAGGAGACTCCTGAGAATCCCACAGTTTCTTCCGCCACACCAACCCCCACTGATTTTTACAGCCAGAAGTTATGGGGACTTATCTTCCTGGCAGTGGAACCCTGGGCTGGCTGGTCTGGTGTGGGGCTGACATACCTTGCTTCCAAGGTATCCCTCCTGATTTTTATCCACCACATGTGGGTGTGGGACCACCTGTTCAGCGTCTCTGCATCTCCATATCTCTGCCCCTCTTACCTGTCTGGATGAATGTGACTTCTTTAATTCCTTGGTTGTTGGACTTCCATACAACCAAGGTTGTTGATTTTCTGATGATTCTGGGTGATAGTTGTTTTTCAGTCTAGCTATAATTTTTGCTTTAGTTGTGCGAGGAGGCAAGCTGTGTTTACCTATACCTCTATCTTGACCAGAAGTCTCAAGTTCCTTCTTAATCTCCCTTGTTCTTTCACTTTTCTTTCTTCAAATGTTTTGGTTAGTTTTTTCACTCTGACAGTGAGGTTCTGGGTAGGTTTCTTATTTGAACATTTAGTAGGCTTCTCAGAGGGAGTAACATTTCCTGAACTTTCTCTTCCTGTTTAAGTATATGATTTTGTATTAAGAGAGGAGGGTGGTATATCACAAAATTTGGACTGAGAGTTTTTAGAAGTGTTATAGGATTCAAGCGAGGAATGAAAACTGACTAAGCTTTCTTTTTTTTAAAAAAAAGGATTATTTATTTATTTTTAGAGAGAGAGAGAGAGGAAGGAAGGGAGAAAGAGAGGGAGAAAAACATCAATGTGTGAGAGAAACATTGATTGGCTGCCTCTCGCATGCCCCCAACTGGGGACCTAGCTCGCAACCTGTGCATGTACCCTGACTAGGAATTGAACCAGGGCCCTTTCAGTCCATGGAGTGATGCCCAACCTACTGAGCCACACCAGCCAGGGCCAGACTAAACTTTCTGACTGGTTCCCATTTGCAACTGGTGTTTCAACTTTTAGTGAGTGTATATTTGGGTATTGATTTTAACGGCAACAGAACTGTTTGAGGATGCTTCTGTCACTTTGTCATCTTCCCAACTTGTAGCCATCCGTGTAGACTGCTCATCATCACCTGTCATGAACACCATGAAGACCATACTGTTCCTCTTGGGCAGTGTGATGGTGACCTGAATGGTGTCCAGGAACCACAGTATCACTCCCTCCTCTGCTGTCTGTTATAAGGACATTTCTCATTGGATTTAGGGTCCACCCAGGTAATATGTGATGATCTCAATTTAAGATCCTTAACAACATATGCAAAGATCCATTTCCGAAATAAGGTAATGTTCACAGAATCTGGGTATAAGCATGTGTACATATTTTTCTGGGGCCACCATTCAACCCATTACAGTCCATCCTCTAATCCTCAAATTCACATTTGTCCCACGTATAAAATAAATTCACCACATCACAACATGCCTAAAAGTCTTAACCCATTATAGCATCAAATCTAAGTCCAAAATGTCATCTAAATATCATCAGATAAAAAGCCATAGTGAAACCATCTACGTCAGGTATGGATGGGTTGAGACTCTGAGTATGATCCATCCTGGGGCAAACTTTCTTTCCATCTGTGAATCTGTGAAAGTAGAGAACAAGTTATCCAAGATACAATGGTATATCAGGCATAAAATAGACATTCCCATTCCAAAAAGGAGAAATTGGGAGGAATAAAGCAAGTGTGCAATTCAGCATGGCAATTCCAGCAGGTTTCAAGGTGTCTGAGGGTGGAATACCAGTGTCGTGGCCACTGTAATGAGAGGGTTTTTTGAGACCAAAAGAAATGATGCAGCCAACTCCATAGATCATCACAATTCATTATAAGGTAAATTCCTTACAGGGATAGGATTGAAGTAGACAGGTGACACAGCAGTCTGAGCAGATATTCTTCACTGTCAGACTGCTGTTATACTACATTTTTAATAGTATACCTTAGGTATTAATGATTGATAGGACAAAGGGACAAAGAATGCAGTGCATGCCAGGAACCCATACCTCCTGGTGGTCTTGTGATAGATGACTGCTTAGAATGGACACTAATACTGGCTTGATATTTATCTCGGTTGTCATGCCATTCTGGCCATTACTGACAAGAATCTTTACAGCTACATTGCGTAAGTTTAAGAAACACAGATAATGATTAACTATAAGGTTTTGGTATGCTGTTTGAGAACAGTGAGGTTGGTCAGAGTTCATAACATGAAAAATGTGAGTGGAAAAGAAACCCGGGACAAAAAGATGGAGTTAGTTTTGTTCATAACTACATCCATACATAAGGCCTGAAAGTAATTCCTTGTGGCCTAATGCTCTGCCCTCTGGGGCTGTGGTGGCTCCATGTTTTGGATCTGTGGCAACACTTTCACCCTCTGTACTGCCTACTATTCCATTGACCTCTACCTCTGGGCCTGCGTCTCCACCCTCTGACTCTGCACCCAAGGCTCTGCCCTTGAAGTCATTCTTCCTTTTTTTGCGAGGTAGCATATGTTTACAGCTAAGTAGTTCCATCAGAAAGTTTCCTATCTGCAAAATTTTGGAAGTCTGGCAGCCTTCTCTCATTTTGTCCTCTCTCTGTCCCTTTCAGTTCAAACTTGCAGTGTTTCTGCACATATAACATTCTCAAAAGCTTTGTAGCTCTCTTGTATAGGTCCCCATGAGACAAGAGATCTTTACTAGATAATCCCATCTCTATTCCTAGATGGTTTAGTGGGTCCATGAGTCACATACCTAATCTCTTCAGGAAAATATTCTTGGGGGCAGGGAGGTGGGGAAAAAAAGAAAAAAAATAAAGAAAAGATTCTCTTGCCACACTCTTGACTTTTTCTCCATAACACTAGTTCCTAACATTGAATTTTTTAATTTTAGCATTCTTTACAATATGGTTAGGCCAAGAATATCCCAACTCATCAAGTGTTGTTTCCTTTTTCTTTTATACTTCCTTCCCCAATATATTTCTTTTGTCTCACCTTTTACTATAAACAGCAAGACAAAACCAGGCTATACCTTCAATACTTTGCTTGAAAATCTCTCAGCTAAATATCCAAGTTCATTCCTTATAACCTTGCTTGTCTATGCTTGTCTTTACCACACAAGCATAGAACACAATTCTATCAAATTTTCTGCCACTATATAACAAGGGTAGTCTTTCTTTCAGTTTCTAATAACACGATCTTTATTTTAATCTGAAATCTCAACTTAGAAGCAGTTTTATTAGTTATATTTCTATTAACATTCTGCTCATGATGATACACATATTCTTTAAGAGACCTCCTCTACTGTTTTTCTCAGTCCTTTTGAGGCCTTTGCAGCAGTGCCTTTAATGTCCATATTTCTTCCAGCAGTCTCTTCAAGGCAATCTAAGCTTTTTCTGTCACATGCCTCAAAATTCTTCCAGATTCTATACATTATCCCAAGCCAAAATCACTTCCACATTTTTAGGTATTTATTACAGTACTTCATGTCCCAATAAAATTTATGTTAGTTTCCAGGTCTACCATAACGAATGACCAAAAACTTAGCTTTAAACAACAAAAATGTATCCTTTCATAGCTCTGGAGGCCACAAATCTGAAATCAAGGTGTTGAGATAGTCATGGTGTTTCTGAAGACTCTAGGGGAGAATCCTTCCTTGCCTCTTCTAGCTTCTAGCAGTTCAAGGTGTTCTTTGGCTTGTGGCTATATCACTATCTGTAGTTTCAGGTATCCACTGGGGGTCTTGGAACATGTACCCTGTGGATGTGGTGGGGAGAAATACTATATATGTAACACATTGGTGACAACCAAACAACTGCTTGTTGTCTTCACAGTATTCATTTTCATATTTGTCTTCCCCCACTAATGTACCAACAGGGTCTGCCCTGAAGAAAATTTGCATGTAGCCACAGAGACTACTGTGGTCACTGACTTCTGCAGTTCATGCTTCAGGACCTGCAGGAACTCCATGTTGTTCTACAGGCCTACTTGAGTCTTCACAAGGCAATTCCACCATTCTATCAAGCCAGCTGCTTTGGGATGGTGGGGGACATGGTAAGACAAATGAATTCCATAAGCTTGGACCCATTGCTGCACTTCATTTGCCATGATGTGAGTTTCTTGATCAGAAGCAATGCTGTGTGGAATACCATGGTGGTGGATAAGGTGTTCTGTAAGGCCACATAGATGGCAGTTTTGGCAGAAGCATTGTATGCAGGGAAGGCAAATCCACATCCAGAGTAACTGTCTATTGCAGTAACAACAATGTGTTGCCCCTTCCATGATGGAAGTGATCCAATGGAATAAACCTGCCACCAGATAACTGGCAGATCACCCTGGAGAATGGTGCCACATCAGGGATTCAGTGTTGTTCTTTGCTGTTGGCAAATTAGGCACTCTGCTGTAGCAAGGTCAGCCTTGGTGACTGGAAGTCCATGTTGTTAAATTCATGTATAACCTCCATCCCTGTCACTGTGGTCATTTTGGTCATCAGCCTACTAGGTGCCCATCTTTGTTAGTACAAGTTGCACACACTTCAAGAATCATGTCTAGAGTTACAACTGGCTAGAACAATAAGAGAACTGCCCAGCTAAGCTCTGATAGTCAAATCATGGACAAATAGAACAGTTGTTTGGATCCAGAAGTTTGTTGTGCGTTGTTATGCAACAGCAGACAACCAAAAGAGTTACAGCATGATATCTGAATTTAAACACAAACACAAACATAATGTTGAAATTGCAAAATCATGAGTGCTCTTTAGTTCTGATAAGAATTAACTAGTGAGTTACTGTGGATTTGCAGTCTGGACGATGAAGACCTTCCTATTCTTTACTAGAGCAATTGCCTCACTCATTTAGGCCCATTGAAGAGAGTATCCTCTGGGACAAACTGATAGAGACTAACATGTCCCAAGTGCTGTCTACTATTGTTTTAGCCACTGGAACCCATGCAAGAATGGCTGCTCTTTGCCTGAGTAGTTACAGCAGATTCATAGGGACCTTAGGCTCACTACACATTATTCCTGGGGTGATGGGAACCACTCTCTAAGCAAAGGACCCTGCCTTTATTTCCCACTGGGTCTTGGGCAAAGATGTATTAAAATTTCATAATCCAAAAAAAAAAAAAGAAAAAGAAGAAGAATCATGTCTAAGTGTGGATCATGAGAGTCCAAAGGCATCAAGAAAACTATTGCTGGTTGTTTAAAATCCTCACCCCAGGATATTTAAATCCTCATCTGAGGACATTGCTTTTAGAGAGAGAGGTAGAAGGTGGTAGGGGAGAGAGAGGGGGAGGGAGAGAGAAAGATGTGAGAGAGGAACATCAATTGGTTGCCTTCTCATATGCGCCCCACCTTGGGATTGAACCTGAAACCTTTCGGTCTATGGGACAAAGCTCCAACCAACTGACCCACACCAGTCAAGGTGAGCTATTGCTGTTTGTTGTTCAGACATAGGTTACTTTTTTCAGGGCCTTATTCAAATATGGCCTTCTTTTAGGTAGCTTTATGGAAAGGATCTAGTGATACCTGTGAAATTTAAGTGACCTGATCAGATGCTGTTTCTTGCTTAGTACCAGAGGTAGGCAACAACAGCAGTTTATTTTTTTGTTGTCTGTGGAGTGTCATGGGGGGCTCCTGGCCAGGGTATTATTCCTAATAATTTCATTTCTTCACTCCCTGGGCCTTTGGATTTTTACTGTATTTATCAACTCGCTTCTTCTGATAAATGTGGGTCACTATTGCATTTAAGACAGCCTAGCTTGAGCTTCAGTTTATGATATTATCACGATATAATCAATGAAGTCTGTTACTATACTTTGGACCCGCATCAAGTTCAAATCTTTTCTAACCAAATTAGGACAGTTGAATTAGGACAACTGTTGAATTCAAATACTACTTTGGCAATACAGTAAATGTAAATTGGGATCCTTCCCATGTGAAAGCAAACGGCAGTTGACTGTTTTCCAATAATGTGATAGAGAAAAAAGCATTCGCAGGATTAGCCACAGATAACCAGTCTCCTTTAGCTTCCTGTATTTTCACTGTTGAGCCATATCAGGACTACTGAAGCTGTGTGCAATACTAATTTATTTAAGTCTTGTCGGTCTCCCTGAGCCATCCATCTTTTTCATGGGCCACATAGGGCTATTCTAAGAGAATTTATCGGACCAGCACTCTAGCTTCTGACATGTCATTAATTAAAGTGGTAATCTCTTTTTGCCCATCATGTAGTCTATACTGCTTCAAAATAAAAACTTGTATGGATGGGCTTGGACAGTTCTAAAGATTCTCATTTATCATGTGTAATTAACAAGGATAAACTTACATTGCTTCTGTTTTGCAATACTAGATAGAAGTGTTCCCCAGTCATAGTATCCAAATCACTAATACGTCTAGATGAAGGAGATGTAACTACTTCACATAAAATTCATTCAGACATTCCTATTTTCATCCTAATTTTCATCTTAATTCCATTAACTGTTGTATCTTAATACATCAGCTGGTGTATTGTTTTTCTCTGTCAGAGAGTCACAGAAAAGTCTTCTCT